TTAATTTTCTTTTATAATTCTTTTTATCTCGATCACTAATTACGAATGTCGTTTGTTCAATTGGGAGTGAGTAATTTTGGTATTAATATTCCATTATTTTATCTAATTTCTTTCATTATTAATATCAATTATTCACTCCCAATTGAATTGTAATAAAAATCGTGCTTTCCATTAATTTTCTTTTATAATTCTTTTTATCTCGATCACAAATTACGAATGTCATTTGTTCTATTGGGAGTGAATAATTGATATTAATATTCCATTATTTTATCTAATTTCTTTTATTATTAACATCAATTATTCACTCCCAATTGAATTGTAATAAAAATTGTGCTTTCCATTAATTAATTCCATTAATTTTCTTTTATAATTCTTTTTATCTCGATCACTAATTACGAATGTCGTTTGTTCAATTGGGAGTGAGTAATTTTGGTATTAATATTCCATTATTTTATCTAATTTCTTTCATTATTAATATCAATTATTCACTCCCAATTGAATTGTAATAAAAATCGTGCTTTCCATTAATTTTCTTTTATAATTCTTTTTATCTCGATCACAAATTACGAATGTCATTTGTTCTATTGGGAGTGAATAATTGATATTAATATTCCATTATTTTATCTAATTTCTTTTATTATTAACATCAATTATTCACTCCCAATTGAATTGTAATAAAAATTGTGCTTTCCATTAATTAATTCCATTAATTTTCTTTTATAATTCTTTTTATCTCGATCACTAATTACGAATGTCGTTTGTTCAATTGGGAGTGAGTAATTTTGGTATTAATATTCCATTATTTTATCTAATTTCTTTCATTATTAATATCAATTATTCACTCCCAATTGAATTGTAATAAAAATCGTGCTTTCCATTAATTTTCTTTTATAATTCTTTTTATCTCGATCACAAATTACGAATGTCATTTGTTCTATTGGGAGTGAATAATTGATATTAATATTCCATTATTTTATCTAATTTCTTTTATTATTTATATCAATTATTCACTCCCAATTGAATTGTAATAAAAATTGTGCCTTCCATTAATTTTCCTATTTCTCGCAACTAATCTTCGAAGTTCCCCTTTGTCTCAATTTCGATCCGATCCTCTTCGGCGGCGTTCGCGCGCGCACGAGCTGCAATAAATTATGTAAAACTGTGATAGCGTACCCGCGGTAAACGCATTTCGAATTCCGAATTAAAATAAGCTTCGAGTGCAAAGACTTTAACA